CCATTATTTTAATTCATATTTTTATGAATTATTCCCCGTTATTCCAATGTGATTGTGATTTTATCTTAAACTCAAAATGAGTGAAATGTGCCTCATTTTGAACCTTTTCCCCAAAAACTTAGAATGAGTCGAAGAAGTATCATTTTTATTGTACTTTAAAATGAGATTGATATGCGACTCATTTTAAGTCCGGTTTCTTTCTGTGTACCAAAGGTTTTTGACAATATTGAAAGAGCCCTAAATTTTTGCCAATGGTAATAAATTAACCCTAAATTATGGCATATAGGAAAACTTTTTTTTTGAATGTGGTACTTCCAATTTTCCAGTTTTACTATATATACCAAAAAAAGTAAAGCCGAATGAACAAGCAACTCAAGAAGCAGTTGCTGCTGTTTACGCGAGAAAAATAAAAAAAGTTTTATTTTCATTTTATTTTAAGTATAACTATTTATATAAATTAATTGTTATACTAATTTAAGCTTTTTTAATAAATAAATTAAACATTATATCAATTTCAGTAGTTTTATTACAGAAAAACCGAAACTAATGAATCAAGCTTTCAAATGAGAGGTTGTTCATTATAATTGATTCAATTGGCGATTCAAACAGCTACACTAGCGCCACAGTTGAACTAATTTAGGCGTGACTCGCTCTAAAGCAGTCTCTGTTTTGACAGTTTATTTCAAATTATTTAATTATTCTGATATTTTTATTGCGTTTGTAAAATTATTTTTAAGCGTTAAATAAAAAAAATAATTTAAAACACATGGAGTGCTACAGAGCGAGTCACGCCTAAATTAGTTCAACTGTGGCGCTAGTGTAGCTGTTTGAATCGCCAATTTTGCGATTGCTACGAACTTCCTAATGTCAAGGCGATTCCACAATACCTTACATTTGAACTTGCTTTGCAGTTGCTTTGCATCTGCTCTGCATTTGCTTGTTGCACGCGCAACTTGTTGATCAGTTCACGTTCCGTTCCGCTTTTTCAATTGTCTGAGTGAATTTATAATTGTTTATTTAAACTTATTATAAATTTATAAATAGGTTTAAAGTGGATGATTATTTTATCGTATTTATTTCGTGGTAAATAAAAAAATGTTGGATTTTTTTTAAATATTAAGTATATATTAATGTGAAGTATTATTTTAAGGTTATGTTTATATATAATATTACTTAATTTGTTTTAAATTTGCATACATTTATAAAATAGGAATAACATAAGTATTTACAATATTTCTAAACGTAATTATAATTCGAAAATTTAATACAACCAATATTTGTAGTATGAATCGTAGGAATATAGATAACAAATTTTAAAATGTTATGTTAATATTGTTAATATATCTTGTTAAACTAATACATGTGGGCGATTCCACGTCAGATTTCAGTCGACTTTTTAAATACGGCCAAACATATTTTTTTCATTCTTTAAAAAAAAAAGAAATACGTATTTTTTTATGGGCGATCAATTTTTCGAGTTATGAATTTTCAAAATTTTGGATTTTAAAAAGTAGACCTATTTTCAATTACCTATAACACGAAAAGTTGATACATGTCACTGATGGGGGTAACGAGAATTCATGAAGAATGCAAAAACTTTGCTACATCTTCATGAATTCTTGTCCTTAGCTGAGTCATTGGTAACGTGTTTTTCTACATTTTTCCAAACATCCTATCGGCGCGCCCCTTTACACTCTACGCTTTCCACTCTCTTCCCTATTCGCTCTCTCCACTTTCGCCTTACGGCCCATTTCTATTCATCCTTGCACCTCCCACTTTCAACGCGACAGGCCCTTTGCTTTCCTCGCGCCACTTCTTTTAACTTTCTGTTCGCCGGATACTTTTCCGAGCCGAATTTTCAATTATTTATTTAAATAAAAGGTTATGTTCGAAGTTAGATGTGTTTTTATATCTTGTAGATCATTTATAGCATAATTTATTATAAATAATTATTGTATCATAATAAATTATTATTAACTAATTATTAATTATAATTGTTATTACAATAATTATAATTTGTTAATTGTTAATAGTATATATTATTGTTATAGTGATTTATAATTTATAATGTTATATATATATATATATGTGTGTGTGTGTGTGTGTTTAATACGAATAATATTATATTGTCAACTTATAGCAAATATATATTATGTTACACATACATATCTGTATTTGTAACATATTATATTAATAAACTATATTTTAATATAATAATATTGTTATCATATATCACACTAATTAAGTAAGATTAGTTATTAATTAGGTTAAATTAGGAATGGTTAAGCAGGGATGTGAGAGAATTTCGGGGATAGAGGTGAATCTCGCGAGAAGACGCGCGACTTGGCTCTTGACTCGCGGTTTTCCGAGGGTCATAAGTAAGAAGTGTATAGACGGAAGATTTGCCCCTCTCTTGGAAAATTCTCCCACTATTTTCGTCGTTTTGGAAGAGTCGTGGGCTATAAAAGCCGATGCACTGGACCAAAACGTCAGTTCTGTTGCAGAGCTCTCTCAGGGAAGTTACTTCTCTGACTAGCCTAACCTCTAACCCGCAACAGTTGTACTTAGCAAATTTATGAAAATTGAACTTAGCAAAAATTACGAAAGTTGTACTTAGAAATTATTCCGAGTTTCATACTTAGAAAAATTCTCAAAAGTTTGGACTTAGAAAAATTTCCGAAGTTCATACTTAGAAAATTTTCTGAACCTTGGACTTTTGAGATTTCACGTGTTAGACACTTCACCTACCTTGTGTATTACCGAGTTTCTACTTGTATTTTTTGTGTGTTCGAATAAAGTTTTTACCACAGAATTTGTGATTCTCTCCATCACTGGTGCAACCAATCATGGTAAGTCCTAACTACATTAATACGCTTGATTAGTGACAGCTCAATTCCGACAAACGTACCACACTCACGCCGTTACGGAGATAGTTACTGTCTCCATAATTGAGATACTCGTCACAACGAAGAGGTCACCTTTTCCTTGTGAGGTGTGAGACACAACGTCTAAATCGAGTTGTCCCTAATTAAATCGACTTAAATTCTGATCACCATCATTATTGAGATCAGTTGCTGTTCTCAATAATCGAGGTACTTGCCATAATAGAAGAGTTACTTTTCTATTGTGGGGTGGTGAATCAAATTACGGTTATAAATCCTAACCTATAAACTACTTGGCTGAGAGAGGGTGCCTTTCTCAGATAAATCCCTAGATTCAGTCGAATGAGAGGTTGCCTTTCATTCGACACACATAGTCGGGTGGTGTTGCGCCGCTTCTTTAGACTCCACAGATTCTACTTGGTCAGCCGCCATATCTAAGCCACCACCATTATTGAGAATAGTTGCTGTTCTCCATAATCAAGGTATTTGACATAATAGAAGAGTCGCTTTTCTATTATGAGGTGGTGATTCACTCGACGCCTCCAAGAACGGCCTTGATTACACGCTTACACTCTTTCCCGACTCGACTATTGGGACAAGGTACCTTACTCTCCCGCTTACCCTCTCTACCTATTAACGGTTCGCTCTCTTCTCCTCCTCAGGGTAAACGCTGGAAAGCAGCTAAATCTTGGAAAAGGAACCGACGACACCACGAACAGCTAACATATCGGGAGAAAGGGTACTGCACGGCCGTAAAAAGTGGCGTGCAAGTGGAAATTTTGGACCACGTCACATATACCGCCTACTGCCAACGACAACCAAACCCGTTTACGATACCAACCCGGGGACAGACCTTACCGGTGCCGACATTTGGATGCCCCATCAAACTCCCGCCACCGACTACGGTGAAACCACTTCCACCGCGCTGGAGTCGATGGGACTACGTCTCCTGCAACTACCCGAAACCTCGGGCCGTTGTTAAGCCGACGCTCAAACGGACAAGGTCAGACCAGCTACCGGCCTCTGACCCAACTAAAACCACCGAGGGAGAGTGTCCCAAAACCCCGTCTTGGGATTTGACATCTCCTCTGCCTAGTCCTATTAAGTTGGACGCCCCGACGCCACCGTCGGCACGAGGTCTCTTCAGCCCTGGCACAGCAACGCCGCCCAGTTCACTGGAGACCCCCAAAGTTAATCGGGTGAAAGGGGACACGCCAGCACCTCGACCCGCCATCGAGTACCTGATTGACGACGACGAGATCAACAGAATTCTGGACGCTGGTTTAAACCAACCTGATCTGTTGTCGCCCTTAGGAAGGACTCCGACTTCTCCGGAGGGAACACCAGAAGCTATCCTTCTCAATCCTCAGTTCCCTAAATTCCCACCAAAGAAACGATCCAAAATTGTAATGGATCTGCTTACCTTATTCTGAAGCGAACCAAATAAACGAAACACCTTCAGTATTATTACTCCAACTTTTGTAGACATTAAGAGAGTTAAAATAAATTAATATTTTATTGGTAATTCCCTGTCTCTATTTCATTTAAACTTCCCTTTTTCCAACGGGGGGTGGCTGCCGTCCCTCGTATTCCCTCCTTCGATTGTACATTTATTATATTATTTTGGCATTTAACTTTTGTTTATAACTCAGAAGAATTTTTATCTTTCATTTATTTTAATTCTCTCCACAATACCACTACTCGAATATTTTGCATTAATCCATTTTTTTCACCTTTGAGGCGGTCATCGCACAACGTGACCGGTATCAAAGTTTTGAATTTAGAAAAATATCACCATGATAAGAAATGTTCAGTTTATCTTTGACTTCTCAATCATGTAAACAAAAACAAAAATTTGATGATTTGAAAAAAATAACAATAATTTTTTATAAACAAATCTGTACGTTTCCATTTGGCAAATTTGGTTTAAAAATGTTTAAACCAAATGGTTGGCTGCAAATGGTTATATATTGCCTCGAACTAATATATCAGCAAAAGAAGTCAAATCGACGGTGGCACGTAAGGCCTCATATAAGTAATGCCGCGCGTGATATTTCTAGGGCTTACGAATGTGTATTCTTATACTTTGCGAATTGCGACCAGGAACAATTTAAAAAAATGTGCCGACTTTCTGTGGAAGCCTTTAAAAAACTGCACGACATTGTCGGACCCAGACTTGTAAAGAGAAGTCGCAGGCGTCCATTGTCGTCCGAATTAAGATTGTCGATAACGCTGAAGTAAGTAAAATATATAATAAAAACCGCTACCAAGTTGAAGTATTTTTTATGTTCATTCCATGAACATTTTGCTTCCTCATGGAAAATGTTTGTGACTAATTTATGTTACCTTTATATTACCTTTACATTTCTAGGTGAAAGAATTTTTCCAGTTTTTTTAAAACCTGATGTTGATAGATTTTTAAAGACCCTATGCAATAAAAATTTAAAAAATTAATAATATAAAAATCGTCTTTTTCAAGATTTTTTAGCTCTTATAGTATTCGAGATATTTATGAAAATGTGATGTTTATAAACACACACACGGAACGACATTCTCTAAAAATGTTTGTTTTTTATTCTTGAGGTCGAAAATATAAAGATACATCAAAAAATCAAACTCAAAAAATGTTGGTAAAACAATGCTTCCCAGGAAGCAATATATAAATGAAAATAATTTAATTGCAGTGGCATGCCCCTATCAAATAACACAGTGTTATTTTATTGTCATGCAAAATCCCTTACTACGAAATCTAAATCACTCTCGCGATCACTTTATATTATTAAATGTTTTCATTTTTATCAATTTAAAATGTTGTAATTATTTTGTAGTTTCTTAGCTCATGGTGACAGCAAAAGGACACTGGCAAATTTCTTTCGTATAGGCCTTAGTACCACATACGAAATTGTCTCTGAAGTTTGCCCATTGATTTGGGATCTACTCTCGCCAATATATATACGCTGGAATACACCGGAGGAATGGAAAGCTGTCGCAGAAGGGTTTCGTGTAAGGTGCAATATCCCTAATTGCTTAGGCGCCATTGATGGCAAAGAAATAAGGATCAGAGCTCCTCCGCATTCGGGAAGTTGGTTTTACAACTACAAAAAATTCTACAGTTTTAAGCTCTTAGCCATATGCGATGCGTATTATCGCTTTACTTGGGTGGATATCGGAGAGTATGGTAAGCTGTTTGTAAATTAATTATTATCATTATTGAACTGTCATGGGCTCATTGTCTCTAACTAAGATAACAATTGTAATATTTTGAATTCCGGGAATTTTTGAACTTGTACTGTAGGCATGATTTCTAAAAAAAAATTTGCCGTCAAGAAGTAATGTTATAAAACAAAATATATTTATAATTTTAAAAATTGTATTTTTTTAGTACTTGAAATGTAGAAATTATATTAAGCTTTTTTGGATTCTGAATGTATATAATAATTTTAAAAATTTAAGTGTCATAAGTGAAAATTAAAAGATAGAACTGAAAAAAGCATGACTTATCATTTTCAGTGGGATAAGAGACAAAAATTTTACTATATTTTTTTAATTTAAACTTATTTTACAATTATTAAAAAAAGGAGATATAACATATTTTTACAACTGTAAGTGTTTTTTAACATGCTTGAAAAAAATATGTTTTTAGGCAGTCTTAGCGACTTATGTGCCTTTCGACACACTAACTTATTTCAAGCCCTTGAGCTGCAACAAGCTGGTATTCCTGACAGAAACAGGTTGCCGAGGACGAATCTTCAAGTTCCATATTTTTTCATAGGTGACGAAATTTTTCCCCAAGCAACATACTTGATAAAACCTTTTGCTAGGCAATACGTCCCTACAGATAGGCAGAGAACCTTTAATTACAGGTAAAATTTGGAAATAAGATTTGTTCTACTTATTCGTTTTCAATTGATATTGTAATTGTTTGTAAAATAAATTTCCATTTCATGAAATTACAGATTGTCCCGAGGTAGGAATGTTATTGAAGACGGTTTCGGAAAGCTTGGTGTTACTTTCCAAGTAATAAATCATCGATTAGATTGTGACTTGAAAACCGCAGAAGATATTGTGAAAGCTACTTTATGCCTTCACAATTTTATTATCGATGAAAAAGTTAACGGAAGACCCACCATCCGCCGACAATTTGTGCGACAAATGCGTAATTTGCCTTCTTTCGACGAAATATTGCCTGCAGACGAAATTGATGTACACGAAATAATGACAGCGTATTTTAATTCAAGGGAAGGACAAATTATTTAATGCTTAAAGTTGTTAGGTTGCATTACTATATACTATAATTGTAGTACAATATTTTTAATAAAATTATAAAAATTAACTCTCGAAGGCATATTGACAATTTTAGAATATACAAGTTTAATAATTTTAAATCACATGGTTATTTTTAAAAAAATTTAAGGAAAACTATGTAACACGTTTAATTCATTTAAAAAATCAATTTATTTCTTAAACTTGTTTATCATTTATTTGTGAACCTGTTTTAAACAGTGCGATAATTAAAATACTGCTCTTTTTATAAAAATGTAGTTACAAAATTAATTGCTTTCATGAATTTTAAAATTTTTAATAAATGTCCTTATTTTATTTTAGAAGTTTCATGGACAAATTGAACTTTAATGTTCTAGTAATATTATTAAGGGGAAATGTATTTTTCAGCATACAAGTACAAAGAAAGTAAATTATGAATTACACTTTTAAATGAATAAAATCCATGAACAGTGAGTCACCTTAAATTTTATACCGTTTCAATATAATTTGTGACGGGAAAATATTTCTTGACATTATTTTGAGAAATAAATGATCAAATATCCTAGGATAAGGGTTAGGGAAAAAGGTCAATAACTCGCCCCTGTGACCTTACATCGATCTAAGCGCCAATAGTTCAATATATTGGCGCATTACCGAAAATCGTCGGGTCCGTTCCTCACTCTTTGTCCGTACGTCTTGTGTGTTGGGAGTATATCTCCTTGGTTGTATTACACCAAATTATATTGTTTGAATTATACTAAATTATATTGTCTGAATTGATCTATCGAATATTGGAATTGTATTAAAGATCAGTATTATCCAAAATTATATATTATTGAACAAAAATTGGAAAGAGTCGATATTTGATCATATTTGATCTTTCAAGTAAGTGATTAATGTACTTTTATTTTATCTTTTGTAATAAATTCAATATTCCTGGAAGTCGCTTAATATTTTATTTTTGTATTTTGTATTTGGGTTCACCAACTTCCCTCCCTGTGATCAAGTCTTTTGTTAATTTTAATTAATAAATTAACTGGCGTCCGCGTGCAACTAAATCTTTATTTTATTTTGTCAAATAGAGCCCCAGCAACTCTGAACCCGGTCGCGCTGGGTGAGGAATAATTTTAAACTTTGATCATTTATTTAATTTTGATATATTTCTCTTAATAATAAATTATTCCGTCTCATTTGGCGCCCAACGTGGGGCTACGTTGGATTTTTTTTTATTGTGAATTTTGCCAATAATTTTATCTTAAAGTGTGAAAAGTAAAATTATAATTTATTTGTGTGAAAAATTTTGAAAATTAGAAAGTGCGAGTTTGAACGGGAAGCGATCAGAGTGTTTACATTTCTTTTGTGTGAGCGACCTTGACAGACTCAGGTCTAAACTTGCCTTATGTACACAGCGACATACTGGGAATAACGACGATTTATTTTAATAATTTTTTTCGTCAATTTTGATTTTAATTTTATATTTTGTGTGAATTATATTTTGAATTGTTGAAATATTTATTTGTGTTTAGTTCGTAATTCTGTTGACAGTTGGACTGAATAATATATTGAACAAATTGATAATTTTGTCGAAATTTTTTTTGAAAGTTTACTTTCTAGAAATTTTGAATATTTTTTTATAATTGTATATAACGAAATTTTATTTTTTTTGTGAATTGACAAAAATTTCGTAAAATTTTTTTTTTGAAATTTTATTATTCTGACGTATATTTTAAAGTGTTGGACAAAGAGTCATATTTTATTTGTTTTGTTTCGATTAGATCTTGCTCTGTCGAAATAATAATTTTGATTTGACAAAATTTTCGTTGAATAAAGTTTTGTATTTTTGTTTTCGTGATCGTATCTTGCTACATCAAGAAAATAATTAAATTTGATGAGAATTTTTGTATTGTAAAATTTTTTTTTTTTGTTTTTGTCCAAATTTTGTCGATACAATATCTTGCTATTGTCGACAATATTATTGGAAAATTTTTTGTCAAAATTGTTAGAATTTCTGCGTCGATCGCGAACTAACTTTTTGAAATATTTTTTTGTGTTTGTTTAAATTGTTGGAAATTTCACGTTGATCGTGGGCCAGCTTTTTGAAATTTTTAAGTGTAACATTCAATAGAACTATGCCGATTCAAGATCTTGCTCTTGTCGATGTTTGTTAGTTTTTTGAATGTTGCCATTGTTGTTTTGAAATTTTTTTTTGTATTGCCAAAGTGTCGAAATTTTGCGTCGATCGTAAATCGGCCTTTGAAAATTTTAAGCGTAATATTCAATAGAACTTTGCCGATTCAAGATCTTGCTCTTGTCGATGTTTGTTAGTTTTTTTTGAATATTGCCATTGTTTTATGTCTTGCAAAGTATATCTTCTGCTTTACATATAGGTATTTTGATCAAAATAAATTGCTTGTTTTAAATTTTTTTGTGTTCCGCAAAGTATATCTTTTGCTCAACATACGTATATTTTGATCAGAGTATTTTACTTGTCAATAAGATCTTGCTCTGCTGTCAAGTAATCTTTTTAATAAATTTGAAAGATTTTTTTCTCTCGCGGTCGGTACTATTAATTCAAGATCTTGCTCTTGTTAATAGTTTTGTCGATTGCTTGAAGAATTGTTTATAATAAAATTTTTTTGTAAAAGATTATAACTTAAAATTTTTTTTTTAAAATATTATAACTTAAAAATTTTTTTTTTAAAAAAAAAAATATTATAACTTAAAAATTTTTTTTTTGTATTTATTTCTCCTCATTTTGTTTTGACAGTACAAGATCTTGCTCTTGCTCACAGACTAATTGTTGAGAGAGAATATTTAATTTTTTTATTTATATATTAATTTATAATTTATTTGACTTGTTTTCATTAATTGTTGTTTATAACTTATAAAATTTTTTTTAAATTGTCAAGTTATTGATTTTATGTACTTAACAATTATTATTAAGGCAAAGTTCTATTTTATTGTTTTGAGTGTATTGTCGAATATTTATTATTGAACAACAATTTTTTTTGTTTATTATTTTAAAAGGATCGGATAATATACCTCGAACTTTTGTGGGACTTGTCTTTAAAAATTTTATTATTAAAAAATTTTTTTTTAATAAAAGCAATTTTTTTCTAAGCTTTTATTTATTTATCAATAAGAAATTTTTTTTTTATTCGGTTATCGACTTGGCATAACGTAAAGTTTGCTCACAATGACGTCAATGTTTATTTCCCCCCCAAAACGAAATCCAAATAGAAATCAGTTGTTAAGGGAACAAAATAATACAACTGATAATTTAAGATCAACTGAACAAGTTTCAAGTGGACATTCGTCAAATCGCGAAATAGAAAATCCTCCTTTGGAGACCCTTACAAACGCAGGCGCGATAAATTCGGGAGATCAATTTGATCAAAATCCGGGAACTTCAAGACCGTCATCGCAGAATAGTGTAGGGAGTTTTCACGGTTTTTCGATGCATTCGTCCATTGGAAGGGGAAGGGGTAAAACGCCACCGTTGTATATTACGTCAACCATGCATCGAAGAATGGATGCTTTGGAACAGGCTTTAGATACGTTAACTGTCAAATGTAACACCGTAATTGATCTCGCAACTAATCAGGGTAACTTACGCTCTGAAGGGGGAGGGGCGCGAATAAATCAGCAATCCATTTCTTCCGATGAAGAATTGAATGAGTTAGATACGCGTCAAAATAAACCTCCAGTTACTCCTGAGGTTTTCGATGATCAAAATATTGGTCCAAATCGCGAGAATGGAACTTTGTATCCTCATGAAACTCAAGTCGGGGATGAGTCTAGACGCGTTCGTTTCAATAGCGATCCTGGTTTGTCGAATGAGATTCCACAACCAGCGGGCAATGAAATTAATAACGGTCGAAATATTCCCCTACGTGCAGGAATAAATAATAATAATATCGTTCCTCCGCGATTAATAAAAATAACAATCGGCAAACCTCTGGCCGACGGGACACTTATAGACGAAGAAGTTTACGTGACTGAGGAACAGTACCGACAAATGTTAACATCTTCTCAGGGTGATGTCATGCGGGTCGGTGGTGGCAATTTTAATTTCGGTTACCCACGTGATTTGAATCCGTCCCGTGATAGAGAAAACACAGTAGATCGTGATTCGATAGGACCTAATGCCCGTAGGGTAGGTTCATTATTTTCATGGAATGATAGTGATTTTAGTGAGGATGATCAACAAGTACGAAATCGTTTTTCGTCAATTGATCAATCAAGATCTGTAGGTCATTTGTCAAGTAGACCGCGGGATAGTTTGAATTCCTTACATTCGCAGCCTCGTGCGGAGAATTCGAACGCTATTCAAATCGGTCGAATTGTCAATTCATGGAAAATTTCTTTTCCAAAAACAGAAAAAGACCCAGAGCAGTTCTTGCTAATCCTCAAAGACTATCTGAGTACGAGTGGAATAGATCGGAATCTGTTTGTCCCCTGTCTTTCAAAAATATTTGAAGGATCGTACAGATCTTGGTACCTCGTAAACAAGAAAAATTGGCGTACATAGAAAGATTTTGCTCGTGCGTTTCGCTTTGAGTGGGGCGTCAAAAAGGATGACGCCGATCTCCTTCTCGAGGTTCGCGATTTAAAAGTCGACAAGGGAGAGAGTTTAGCCGAGTTTGCATGTAAAGCGCGTCTTGTTTTTGAGAGAATGCAATATCCCCCAGGATTTAGGGAACAGTTAAAACAGATCTTGTCTAAATTTAACCCTCGTTTAACATTTGAAATTTTGAATTTGTCATTAAAGAATTATCGGGAATTCTTGCACTATGTCAATGAGCGTAATTATATTTACAATCGCTCAGCAGACGTGCAGAAAATTAGATCGAAACCTAGGACGGACTTGTGTGCTGTTCGAGACGAAAGAGATTCTGACAATGAACACTCAACTGATGCTTCTGAAGATCATTCTGATAGTGATCAAGAAGTTGGTTTAAATGCTGTTTATGGTAGGGAATCCGATCGTTCAA